GTTTGAACCCTATATCTCCCCTCAGGTACAGATGTTTGAACCCTATATCTCCCCTCAGGTACAGATGTTTGAACCCTATATCTCCCCTCAGGTACAGATGTTTGAACCCTATATCTCCCCTCAGGTAGAGATGTTTGAACCCTATATCTCCCCTCAGGTAGAGATGTTTGAACCCTATATCTCCCCTCAGGTACAGATGTTTGAACCCTATATCTCCCCTCAGGTACAGATGTTTGAACCCTATATCTCCCCTCAGGTACAGATGTTTTAACCCTATATCTCCCCTCAGGTAGAGATGTTTGAACCCTATATCTCCCCTCAGGTACAGATGTTTGAACCCTATATCTCCCCTCAGGTACAGATGTTTGAACCCTATATCTCCCCTCAGGTAGAGATGTTTGAACCCTATATCTCCCCTCAGGTACAGATGTTGAACCCTATATCTCCCCTCAGGTAGAGATGTTTGAACCCTATATCTCCCCTCAGGTAGAGATGTTTGAACCCTATATCTCCCCTCAGGTACAGATGTTTGAACCCTATATCTCCCCTCAGGTACAGATGTTTGAACCCTATATCTCCCCTTAGGTAGAGATGTTTGAACCCTATATCTCCCCTCAGGTACAGATGTTTTGAACCCTATATCTCCCCTCAGGTACAGATGTTTGAACCCTATATCTCCCCTCAGGTACAGATGTTTGAACCCTATATCTCCCCTCAGGTACAGATGTTTGAACCCTATATCTCCCCTCAGGTACAGATGTTTGAACCCTATATCTCCCCTCAGGTACAGATGTTTGAACCCTATATCTCCCCTCAGGTAGAGATGTTTGAACCCTATATCTCCCCTCAGGTACAGATGTTGAACCCTATATCTCCCCTCAGGTAGAGATGTTTGAACCCTATATCTCCCCTCAGGTACAGATGTTTGAACCCTATATGTCCCCTCAGGTAGAGATGTTTGAACCCTATATCTCCCCTCAGGTACAGATGTTGAACCCTATATCTCCCCTCAGGTAGAGATGTTTGAACCCTATATCTCCCCTCAGGTACAGATGTTTGAACCCTATATCTCCCCTCAGGTACAGATGTTTGAACCCTATATCTCCCCTCAGGTACAGATGTTTGAACCCTATATCTCCCCTCAGGTACAGATGTTTGAACCCTATATCTCCCCTCAGGTAGAGATGTTTGAACCCTATATCTCCCCTCAGGTAGAGATGTTTGAACCCTATATCTCCCCTCAGGTAGAGATGTTTGAACCCTATATCTCCCCTCAGGTAGAGATGTTTGAACCCTATATCTCCCCTCAGGTACAGATGTTTGAACCCTATATCTCCCCTCAGGTACAGATGTTTGAACCCTATATCTCCCCTCAGGTACAGATGTTTGAACCCTATATCTCCCCTCAGGTACAGATGTTTGAACCCTATATCTCCCCTCAGGTACAGATGTTTGAACCCTATATCTCCCCTCAGGTACAGATGTTGAACCCTATATCTCCCCTCAGGTACAGATGTTTTAACCCTATATCTCCCCTCAGGTAGAGATGTTTGAACCCTATATCTCCCCTCAGGTAGAGATGTTTGAACCCTATATCTCCCCTCAGGTACAGATGTTTGAACCCTATATCTCCCCTCAGGTAGAGATGTTTGAACCCTATATCTCCCCTCAGGTACAGATGTTTGAACCCTATATCTCCCCTCAGGTACAGATGTTTGAACCCTATATCTCCCCTCAGGTAGAGATGTTTGAACCCTATATCTCCCCTCAGGTAGAGATGTTTGAACCCTATATCTCCCCTCAGGTAGAGATGTTTGAACCCTATATCTCCCTATATTTATTGCTTGGCTCAGATCCACCAACGTCAGCAAGATCTCACCTCTATTAACTCCTGAAGAACCAGGTTCAATTAACTGCTGTTTCTATTCAGACAACTCTTTTTTAATCTGTTTAAGGGATCCCGAAGGATTTTGATATCAGTAAATGGAGTGTGCTCCTACCTAAGTGTGAGTGGCAGGGTGCAGTCTTACCTTTGAAGCAGGAGAGGAGAGCACAGGTTGTCTTTTAGTTGTCCCAATCCAACAGGTGAGATCAGTTTATTTGAAGAAAAATAGGTCCAAACTAATACAGGGTTTTTACCTTTTAACACATTATAATCATACAAAACATATCATGCTGGGGTTATATTGTTATCTAAAACCTTAATTCATATTTCTCATCTATCCAAGATCTAAATAAAACCATTAGTTATAAAATTCCTGTACGTACTAATAACGCCTTCCAGGATAGATCTAAATAAAGCTATTAGTTCTAAGATTCCCGTACGTCCTATTAACGCCTTCCAGGATAGATCTAAATAAAGCTTATTAGGTCTAAGATTCCCGTACGTCCTAATAACGCCTTCCAGGATAGATCTAAATAAAGCTTATTAGTTCTAAGATTCCCGTACGTCCTATTAACGCCTTCCAGGATAGATCTAAATAAAGCTATTAGGTCTAAGATTCCCGTACGTCCTATTAACGCCTTCCAGGATAGATCTAGAATCCACTTCAAGACACTGGTACTTTCTTACCATGCTGCGAATGGATCTGGCCCTTCCTACATCCAGGACATGGTTAAACCGTACACCCCAGCGCGTGCACTACGCTCTGCATCAGCCAAACGACTCGTTGCGCCCTCGCTGCGAGGGGGACCCAAGTTCCCATCGGCAGAAACACGTGGGTTTGCTGTCCTGGCTCCAAGATGGTGGAATGAGCTCCCCATTGACATCAGGACGGCAGATAGCTTGCATATCTTCCAGACTGAAAACTCATCTCTTTCGACTCCACTTCGAGCGTTAGAACTATTAACGAAGCACTTTTATACTAATAAAGGACTGGCTTACCTAAAGCCAGTTGAGTAGCACTTGAAATGTTTGGCTCTATGAAACCTGATGTACTTATATGATTCTGTTTTCTTCATGGTTGTGTCTTCCTGGTCGAATGTACTTATTGTAAGTCGCTTTGGATAAAAGCGTCAGCTAAATACAATGTAATGTAATGTAATCTAAATAAAGCTATTAGTTCTAAGATTCCCGTACGTCCTATTAACGCCTTCCAGGATAGATCTAAATAAAGCTTATTAGGTCTAAGATTCCCGTACGTCCTATTAACGCCTTCCAGGATAGATCTAAATAAAGCTATTAGGTCTAAGATTCCCGTACGTCCTATTAACGCCTTCCAGGATAGATGTAAATAAAGCTATTAGTTCTAAGATTCCTGTACGTCCTATTAACGCCTTCCAGGATAGATCTAAATAAAGCTTATTAGGTCTAAGATTCCCGTACGTCCTATTAACGCCTTCCAGGATAGATCTAAATAAAGCTATTAGGTCTAAGATTCCCGTACGTCCTATTAACGCCTTCCAGGATAGATCTAAATAAAGCTTATTAGGTCTAAGATTCCTGTACGTCCTATTAACGCCTTCCAGGATAGATCTAAATAAAGCTTATTAGGTCTAAGATTCCCGTACGTCCTATTAACGCCTTCCAGGATAGATTTAAATAAAGCTATTAGGTCTAAGATTCCCGTACGTCCTATTAACGCCTTCCAGGATAACCTTACCGAGAGCTATTAACCCAGCTCTGAAGGACAGAGCCTACCCGGAGAGAGTATACCAGGGGTTTCCCCCCCTCTCTCTCGCTCTCTCAAAAAAACAGTCTCTTTTTGCTAAAAAAACCGGATCGAAACCCCAAAAAACACCTCCTCTATCCCCAACCAACATCTTCTATTGGCTATGGCCTAAGACACACCTTCCCATGTTTGTGTAAAAATGACATGACCCCTGTAGGACTTGAAAAATATTATTCTCGGCTATGACATAACCATTTTTGGGGCCTCAATGTGTTTCTCGTTTGAGGCAGGAGCCCCCCTCCCTGAGATCTGCTGTGAGAAAAAAGGGGAAGAAACTGCCTTATCAGTGACACCCATAAATCATAGACCTTACACACTCAACCTAAACAAACCACTTTGTTTTGTTTATGCTGTAAATATAGAAAAACCCAAAATATGAAGCATTCTCATTATGGGTTCATACAAGAATATAATTGATCATATATGATTTATAATTAACTTTCATTTTAAGTATTCACTTCATATATGATTTATAATTAACTTTCGTTTTAAGTATTCACTTCATATGAAGCTCTCAACAAAGCCTATATCTCCCCTCAGGTACAGATGTTTGAACCCTATATGTCCCCTCAGGTACAGATGTTTGAACCCTATATCTCCCCTCAGGTACAGATGTTTGAACCCTATATCTCCCCTCAGGTACAGATGTTGAACCCTATATCTCCCCTCAGGTAGAGATGTTTGAACCCTATATCTCCCCTCAGGTAGAGATGTTTGAACCCTATATCTCCCCTCAGGTACAGATGTTTGAACCCTATATCTCCCCTCAGGTACAGATGTTGAACCCTATATCTCCCCTCAGGTACAGATGTTTTGAACCCTATATCTCCCCTCAGGTAGAGATGTTTGAACCCTATATCTCTCCTCAGGTACAGATGTTGAACCCTATATCTCCCCTCAGGTACAGATGTGTGAACCCTATATGTCCCCTCAGGTACAGATGTTTGAACCCTATATGTCCCCTCAGGTACAGATGTTTGAACCCTATATCTCCCCTCAGGTACAGATGTTGAACCCTATATCTCCCCTCAGGTACAGATGTTTGAACCCTATATGTCCCCTCAGGTACAGATGTTTGAACCCTATATGTCCCCTCAGGTACAGATGTTTGAACCCTATATGTCCCCTCAGGTAGAGATGTTTGAACCTTATATGTCCCCTCAGGTACAGATGTTTGAACCCTATATGTCCCCTCAGGTACAGATGTTTGAACCCTATATGTCCCCTCAGGTACAGATGTTTGAACCCTATATGTCCCCTCAGGTACAGATGTTTGAACCCTATATGTCCCCTCAGGTACAGATGTTTGAACCCTATATGTCCCCTCAGGGTACCGGATGCGTATCGGGTCCAGCACGGAGAAGAAGGACTCAGGGAGGATCCATGTGGACTTCGCTCAGGCGCGGGATGATCTGTATGAGTGGGAGTGTCAGCAGCGCCTCCTGGCCCGTGAGCAGCGACACCTCCGATTTGTCCACGAGGAAAGACTCCTCCCCCCCTCTCCTCCTCCCATAGTGCACTTCTCCGAACACGAGGCGGCCATGTTGGCAGAGAGACTGAAAGGTGAGGACGGGCAGAGGAGGGAAGTAGTGGAGTACAAATACTTTGTTACTGTACTTAAGTACATGGTTCTGGTATCACCAGAGTGTCTTTAAACACGAGTATCTGTACCTCTACTTGAGTAAAGGATGTGTGTACTTCTACTTGAGTAAAGGATGTGTACTTCTACTTGAGTAAAGGATGTGTGTACTTCTACTTGAGTAAAGGATGTGTGTACTTCTACTTGAGTAAAGGATGTGTGTACTTCTACTTGAGTAAAGGGTGTGTGTACTTTTGCCATCTCTGAGGACAGGTCTCAACACGATTTCACTGACTTAGCTGCCATAAATCGTTGGCGTTACAATAAAGAAATGTTTCCTTTCAATGTTTTAGTTAAAGGTCCCGTGTCATGGCCATTTCTACTGATCATAGTTCCATCGTTGAGCTCTACTAGAATAGATTCACTTTGTTCAATGTTCCAAACTCACATTGGTTTCTCACAGCATCTCTGTGTAGTCTGTGTATTCACTCTCTGTCCTACACGGCTTGTTGGAGCTCCTGCCCCCCCCCCTCCCTGTGAGCCCAGTGGCCGTCTGCGAGACAGCGAGACACGGCGAAACCCAGCCAGAAACACACGCACACCCGCAGCCTGGCTGGGAGTTTGTGTGTGTGCTCACACACCGACTCACAGCCTCGCCGCGTCCCGCCGTCTCAGGGAGGAGAAATCGGCAGAGCTGCAGCTGAGAAAAGATTGAGTGTGTGTTTGAGGACCTAACGGCTCCACGGACGTAATGTAACAGCTCCACGGATTGGTCCATTTGGGTATGGGCACGTCTCCGTTACCCTGGAAGAAAAAGAGAAATGTCCAACGAGGCATTCTGGGGCAGCATAGACAGGTCTTCTCTGTGTTAGAGTGTTACTCGCTACAGGGTGTACTTTGACGGCCCGTCCACACAGCGGCGTGCGTTGAAAGCTTCACCATTCACTTTGAATGGGGTGATGACACTTTTCGCCGAACTGCATTGTGGGAAGCGACGCGGAGCGTTGCTGGCGTGGCTCGCTGCAAAAGTTGAGCAATGTTCAACTTTTGAAGCCTTGGCAGAAGCGTCAGCCAATCGAATCATATGCCAGTACAAGCTCTAGCCAATCAAACCGCTGCTTGTGTGTCAGGGGCGGGAGATTCATGTGATTGGTTGTTGGTAGAGTTTCAGACATGCCCGCCGGCAAGCTTCAACCATGCCACTGTGTGGACGGGCCGTGAGGGTTAGAGACTCTGCAGACCGTTCACATGCAGAAGCTACAGAACACAAGGGGACGGGTCAGAACCAGAGAAGCAGGACATGGGACCTTTAAAGCTCATTCTCTATCTTCTTTGATCCCTTTAATTGTATTAAACTGTCGCCCTCTCTGCCCATTTTCATTCCGGTTAAACCACCACAGTGTTTCTTTTCTATGTACAATAAAATAAGACATTTTTGTGAGAGAAGTGAAAGAAGCATGCTAACTCCGAAGCTCAACCCTTCCTTTCCTCTCAGGGCAGCGAGTGCGCATTAGACCTCGAGAGCAGTGGCAGGCTTTGAACAGTTATATATGACAGTAGACTGTAAATAAAAGCCTCTTTTCCAACAAGCCGTCCTCTGACGCTCCTGCAGGAGGAGTCTGCAGCTGTAGCCATGGATACAGTGATGGAGAAATAAAAAAGCAATCACTTTTTATCCGATATGTTCTAAAATCATGATCTAGGAGCAGATTTAGAGGTCGCTGTTAACACATGTGATTGTTATGGTGTGTGTGTGTGTGTGTGTGTGTGTATAATCTCCCGCTGCCCCCCACTGTGAGAGCTAATCACAGGTGGAGCTCAGAGAGAGGAGTTATTGATATTCTTCATGAACAAACCTCTCTCTCCTGCAGAGAGGAAGTGATGTTCTGACAGATGTGTGTGCCTCTGAGGATGATCTGTGTGTGTGTGTGTGTGTGTGTGTGTGTGTGTGTGTGTGTGTGTGTGTGTGTGTGTGTGTTTAAATGCACACAAAATTCAAGTATTTTGCCCTTATTGCAACAAAGACCTGTGTAAATGGGAATGAACATTATTGTGATTCCTGTTTACCTGCAGCAGTGGATACTCAGCTAAAAGAAAAGACACAGATACTGATTTACAAAATGATTAGTTTACATTTTGATAAATATTTAAAATAGTAATAAATGTCACCTCCTGCAGCCAAATGGAATATAAATTATGTGTAATAATACAAAGGTACTGCTTACTGTGACGCAGCGTCCACACGGCGGCGTGCGTTGACGCTTGCCGGTGGGCGTGTCTGAAAGTCGACCAACAACCAATCACATGAATCTCCCGCCCCGGACACACAAGCACGCGGTTCGATTGGCTAGAGCTTGTCCTGGCAGATGATTCGATTGGCTGGCGCTTCCGTCGACGCTTGAAAAGTTGAACTTCTCTCAACTTTCAGCGCGAGCAACGGAGCAACCACAATGCAGTTCGGCAAAGCGTGACGTCACCCCATTCAAATTGAATGGGCAGCGTTTCCGTTGAAGCTTCAACGCACGCCGCCGTGTGGACGGGCCGTAAGGAGACTATGACTCCATGGGGCTTTTATTTTGAAAAACATGCCTCTTCCTGAGCAAATATAATACTCCATATTATATATATATTATAAGCATTATATTATAAAATATTATTATACGTTTATTTATACAGCACCTTCCTTGCAATACAAAAAAAATCTTTAGGACCAAAAACACAAAATGACATTTAAATGTGATTGAAATGTCATTAAAGGAGAGACTGGAGAGAGAAGGGATATACAGCGCAGTCAGAGATAAGGGCTGTTGTAGAGGAGACTCTGAAGGTCACTCTCCTCCTCCTCCTCCTCCTCCTCCTCCTCCTCCTCCTCCTCCTCCTCCTCCTCCTCCTCCCTCCTCCTCCTCCTCCTCCTCCTCCTCCTCCTCCTCCTCCTGTAGTTTTACAGTAGAAAGTGTTTAATCTCCTCACTTCCAGCACACTATCCTCACTGTGAGGATATAAAGCTCAGCTCTGGTAGCGTTGCGCTGCTTCTAGATTAAATCAATATGGTTTAATGCATATTGGAGAAAACCCAGACACAAAATAATCCCTTCTGTTAGGATGAAACTCAGCCCACATCTACGGCACCTAACAACATGTCACATACAGAACTCTATGGGACCTTTATTTTGAAAGACACGCCTCTCCCTGAGCTTCCTGATAGGATAAAGTGACTCTGGCTGAAACACTACTCAAGCTTTTACACGTGTGTGATTGTGTAAAAGCTTGTGGTTCATGTAGCATTAGCATCTGTTAGCACCACAGGAATAATAAAGATCCAGCAGTCATACAGTGTTTCTCCTGCTTTGTTAATGTTTGCTCCTGAATCCCCAGTTTAGCTCCCTAACCTCCGCCCATCCGTCCCCTAATACCCAACATAAACAGCCATGTTTTTGCTCTGAAGAACCCTTTATGAACCCCCCCCCCCCTCACACGGCGGCTCATTGTGCTCGCTGTAATGTGACTGTAATCTGCTGCAGAGCCTGAATGGAGCTTTATCAGCAGAGGAAGACTCTTCTTACCGGTTGTGTTGCGCCGGGTATTGAGCTCATTAAACGCTCTCTAATTCACTCTGTTCTGCACTCACATTATTATTCAAATGTGTTGGAAAGCGCTGCTCAGAGACTCTGAGAGCAGGGCTGGGTAGAAAGTGGAAATCAGAAATGCAGTTTGTGCTCACAGCCGTGAACAGAGAGCGCCCCCAGAGAGAGATTTCTGGATATCTCTCCACGTCTCAGTCCTCAGCAGCTTCTGTTGTTGGATTAGCCCCACTGAACGCTAAAGGTCCCGTGAAACGACTTCCTGTGATCTGCACCCCCCGTTAGCTGCGATGGGCCGTGAGACAGGAAGCAGTTCTCTCTTCTGATGGATCCATTATAAGCAGAGTCTCAGCAGTAAAAGCACATCAGTGTGTTCCTTTCATGCAGTAAGATTACATTTAGTTTATCTGGATATAGTCTGGTGTAGTTGTCTGTTTAGTTTGGGGGTATTATTGGTTAGAGTTGGTTACATTTTGGGGTTTTAAGTTTGCCTAGTTTGGGGTACGGTTTGGGGTATAGTTTGGGGTATAGTTTAGGGTATAGTTGGTTGTATTTGGGGTTTTAAGTTTGCCTAGTTTGGGGTATAGTTTGGGGTATAGTTTGGGGTATAGTTTAGGGTATAGTTTGGGGTATAGTTTGGGGTATAGTTTAGGGTATAGTTTGGGGTATAGTTTAGGGTATAGTTTGGGGTATAGTTAGGGTATAGTTTGGGGTATAGTTTGGGGTATAGTTTAGGGTATAGTTTAGGGTATAGTTTGGGGTATAGTTTAGGGTATAGTTTGGGGTATAGTTTGGGGTATAGTTTAGGGTATAGTTTGGGGTATAGTTTGGGGTATAGTTTAGGGTATAGTTTGGGGTATAGTTTAGGGTATAGTTGGGGTATAGTTTGGGGTATAGTTTAGGGTATAGTTTGGGGTATAGTTTGGGGTATAGTTTAGGGTATAGTTTGGGGTATAGTTTGGGGTATAGTTTAGGGTATAGTTTGGGGTATAGTTTGGGGTATTGTTGGTTGTATTTGGGGTTTTAAGTTTGCCTAGTTTGGGGTATAGTTTGGGGTATAGTTTAGGGTATAGTTTGGGGTATAGTTTAGGGTATAGTTTGGGGTATAGTTTAGGGTATAGTTTGGGGTAAAGTTTGGGGTATAGTTTAGGGTATAGTTTGGGGTATAGTTTGGGGTATAGTTTAGGGTATAGTTTAGGGTATAGTTTGGGGTATAGTTTAGGGTATAGTTTGGGGTATAGTTTGGGTATAGTTTAGGGTATAGTTTGGGGTATAGTTTAGGGTATAGTTTGGGGTATAGTTTGGGGTATAGTTTGGGGTATAGTTTAGGGTATAGTTTGGGGTATAGTTTAGGGTATAGTTTGGGGTATAGTTTGGGTATAGTTTAGGGTATAGTTTGGGGTATAGTTTGGGTATTGTTGGTTGTATTTGGGGTTTTAAGTTTGCCTAGTTTGGGGTATAGTTTGGGGTATAGTTTGGGGTATAGTTTAGGGTATAGTTTGGGGTATAGTTTGGGGTATAGTTTGGGGTATAGTTTGGGGTATAGTTTGGGGTATAGTTTAGGGTATAGTTTGGGGTATAGTTTGGGGTATAGTTTAGGGTATAGTTTAGGGTATAGTTTGGGGTATAGTTTGGGGTATAGTTTGGGGTATAGTTTAGGGTATAGTTTGGGGTATAGTTTGGGGTATAGTTTGGGGTATAGTTTAGGGTATAGTTTGGGGTATAGTTTGGGGTATAGTTTAGGGTATAGTTTGGGGTATAGTTTAGGGTATAGTTTGGGGTATAGTTTGGGGTATAGTTTAGGGCAGGGGTAGGCAAGTAAGTTTGGCCGTGGGCCAATTTTTTGCTGAGCCGCAAGATGGCGGGCCAGAACATAATCAAAGCCTAATTCAAGGAAATTATTTTGGTAAGAGGGCGCAGCGCCCCTGTTCCCCGGTTCAGAAAAAACTCTATCGCTGATGACCCTCCCCATCAACACTCTGATGCGCAGTCAGATCCGCTGATTGGTTCACTGATGATATAGGCACCCAATCCAGAGCCTCTGGCTAGACCCGCCCAAAGGGAGGCTCGTCCTCTCTAGCCCCATTTCAGTCCCAAAGCCAGGGCTATTGTCTGTATTTTAACAGACTTATCTTTTAAATTGAGGTGTATTTATTGTTCTCTTCAAAGTTTATTTTTCTCTGAAATTTTAGGGAGGATGGTCCTCCCTTTCCTCAATGGACGAGTCTCCACTGAGTAAAGTAGAGTTATTAACTAGGTAGCAGTGTTATTTAACATTTTATTCTGATAAGTATTGTCAAGTTCTCTGGGTTTTTGGCATTTATTTGAGTGTTTGCACATTTGAGAGGCTTGAGGGGCAACAGAGGACGCATGGACAACTGGAATCCTTTTTCCTTTTCTTTATTTAAACTTTTCAAGGACACATTATATTCTTTCAGGTTGAAAACCTTTAAAAAATACCAAAGGACAAAATAAATCAATTACAGCATTTTGCTTTGCAATTTAATATATTATAACCTAAATTAATCAGTAACCAAGTATTTTACTCAAACTCAATGTATTTAATATATAGTTAAATAAGTACTTTAATTGACCTGGTTCCCCCCAATTTGCCATATGTGACCCGCTCTATCGAAATCAGTCGAAAGTCGCAACGGCTCATTTCAAAAATAAACGTGGATATGCGTAAAAAACTAGTTTTTCGGGGTTCGAGTGTTTTGTTTGATTTTAAATAAACAAAGTCTTGGCTTTCAGAATATGACATTTTTATTTCCAAAATCACACGATAAATACATGTTTGAAGCTTGTAAAGGGCAGATGACAGCTCTCCCTCGCCACCCTGCTCTTCCACAGCGCAGCTTCCCCTCCCTCCGCTGACATTATGAATGTAAGCTGATATTTCGGGACAGAATTTATTTTACCGTAATTTGAAACTTACCGGTCATGTTTCAATAATAATAATAAGAATGGTGTAGCAGAGTTTCCGTTAGCAGGTAATCACCGGACTATGACCGGATATGCTGATGTTTAAAACTCAGTTAATGGGGCTCATTTTTATATTGCTTCAGTTTATAATCGTTACAGATCGAAAAGTTCAGATTCATTTTTCAATAAATGATTCCACAAACAACAAACAACATAATTATTACATTCAAACAAACTACTTGTAGTAGATGAAGGACATTATTCAAAAGTTTACATTAACTTTGAATAATAACACGGGAGAAACGAATGCTCTCTTTTCCCCTCTCCCTCTCTCTCTCCTGACAGCCCGTCAGTTTCTCATGCAGCTCGCTAAACAGTGGGCGGGGCTTCAGGTGATTATGCAGAGCTGCATGTCTCCGTCAGACTCAGCAGCTGATCTGATCTCTCTCGGTCCGGTTATACTTCACTCGCGTTTATATCGATCAGATCCAGCTCTCCTGATCGGCCTTTATAGAGAGCACCGATCAAACTATTAAGAGTTAATATCGGCCGATAGTGACCGGCGGCCGATCAATCAGCGGCTTTTATGTTGTAAAAAAATAAATAAAATAAAATCTCTAAATAATATTGTATTAGTGATTCTCAAAATTACGGGCCAAATATTATTGCTGGCGGGCCAACAATGGCCCGCGGGCCGCCTGTTGCCGACCCATGGTTTAGGGTATAGTTTGGGGTATAGTTTAGGGTATAGTTTTCGGTTTAGCTTGGGGTATAGTTGGTTATATTTGGGGTTCTACATTGTCCTAGTTTGGGGTATAGTTTTCGGTTTAGTTTTCGGTTTAGTTTAGGGTATAGTTTTCGTTTTAGTTTGGGGTATAGTTGGTTATATTTGGGGTTCTACGTTGTCCTAGTTTTCGGTTTAGTTTGGGGTATAGTTTTCGGTTTAGTTTTCGGGGATGTTGTTTGTTATACTTTAGGGTTATAGTTGGGGGTTATTATTTGGTTATTATTTGAGGCTATAGTTGATTTTATTTTGGGGTTATTTTTTATTATAATTTTAGGTTAGGGTTAGCTGTAGTTTTAAAGTAGCAGTTGCTTATAATTTGAGGTATTAGTTGGTTTTAATGAGAGGTTATAATTTGTAATTTGGTTGGTAGTAATCTGGGGTTATAGTAAGGGATGGGGTTTATATCAGGTGGTATTTTGGGGGTATGTAATTACTGCTAATAGTTAGTTACAGTTGGTCATAGTTTGGGGTTATGGTTGGTTTTGGTTTAGTGGTCATAGTTCAATGAATTGTTGGGTTAATGTCAGTGTAGTTAGAGTTATATGTTGGGATCATTTGGGGTGATGGTTGGTAATATTTTGGGATTGTAGTAGTTGTGGTTTTGATAGTCTAGTTGGGATTTAGTTCAACTAAAATTGTTCTTCTCTCCAAAACGTTTTTATAGACATATTTCCAGAACAGAGAGCAGGAGAGACTCTGACTGCGCTCCAATAGAAACATTCAGAGAACTCTTATTCTGAAATCTGGATCTGCTGAGTGATTGTTGAAGAACTGTACATCTGGTCCTGATTACTGTCATCTTGCAATATACTTGTAAAATAAATAGTTATCAACGCAATAAACCGTGTTTCATTTGGTCTAAATGTACATTATTTTACATCATATTCTATTTCCCCTCTGCTCCCAGTACTAGATGGGTTAAAAGCAGAGAACACATGTCACTGTGTGCGCTCCGCGTGTGTGACCATTAAAGAGGGTTCCATCCTCCAATTGCCTCATTTACACGTATATAGACTTTATAGACTGTATATAGTATTTTATTATTTATGTTGCATTGCTGGAGGAGCTCAGGTCAGAAGCTGCTGAGCATGTGACGATAACACCTTTGAATCATTGAATCTTTTGAATCCTCCCAGCAGACGACCAGACCTTCGGCGAGGCCACGGCGGTGCTCTTCACCTGGATCGACCGCGGAGAGGTGAACCGCCGCACCGCCAACAACTTCTACTCCATGATCCAGTCGGCCAACAGCCACGTGCGCCGGCTGATGAGCGAGAAGGCTCAGCACGAGGAGGAGATGGAGCGCGCCAAGGAGGCGTTCAAGAGCGCCCTGGTGGCCATCCTCAGCCAGTGTAAGCACTCTTTATTATCTATAACCAGCAGGGAGTCAGGTCGACGACTGGGACGCCTTCACCGAGAGACCGTCAGGTGAGTTCCTCTCACTGCGGGTTCATGAAGACTCCTCAGGAGGCTCGTCAGAACAAGGCATGAACAACACGGGTTCCCAAAGGGGGCCTCTATCGTATCATGTCCATTTCATGTTAATATACATCAACATGTTTTCCCCTCTTCTTCATGTCTCTTCTACATCAACATGTGTCCCCTCTTCTTCATGTCTCTTCTTCATCAACATGTGTCCCCTCTTCTTCATGTCTCTTCTACATCAACATGTGTCCCCTCTTCTTCATGTCTCTTCTACATCAACATGTGTCCCCTCTTCTTCATGTCTCTTCTTCATCAACATGTGTCCCCTCTTCTTCATGTCTCTTCTACATCAACATGTGTCCCTTCTTCTTCATGTCTCTTCTACATCAACATGTGTCCCCTCTTCTTCATGTCTCTTCTACATCAACATGTGTCCCCTCTTCTTCATGTCTCTTCTACATCAACATGTGTCCCCTCTTCTTCATGTCTCTTCTACATCAACATGTGTCCCCTCTTCTTCATGTCTCTTCTACATCAACACGTGTCCCCTCTTCTTCATGTCTCTTCTACATCAACACGTGTCCCCTCTTCTCCATGTCTCTTCTACATCAACACGTGTCCCCTCTTCTTCATGTCTCTTCTTCATCAACATGTGTCCCCTCTTCTTCATGTCTCTTCTACATCAACATGTGTCCCCTCTTCTCCATGTCTCTTCTACATCAACATGTGTCCCCTCTTCTCCATGTCTCCTCTACATCAACATGTGTCCCCTCTTCTTCATGTCTCTTCTACATCAACATGTGTTCCCTCTTCTCCATGTCTCCTCTACATTAACATGTGTCCCCTCTTCTTCATGTCTCCTCTACATCAACATGTGTCCCCTCTTCTCCATGTCTCCTCTACATCAACATGTGTCCCCTCTTCTTCATGTCTCTTCTACATCAACATGTGTCCCCTCTTCTCCATGTCTCTTCTACATCAACATGTGTCCCCTCTTCTTCATGTCTCTTCTACATCAACATGTGTCCCCTCTTCTCCATGTCTCTTCTACATCAACATGTGTCCCCTCTTCTCCATGTCTCCTCTACATCAACATGTGTCCCCTCTTCTTCGTGTCTCTTCTACATCAACATGTGTCCCCTCTTCTTCATGTCTCTTCTACATCAACATGTGTCCCCTCTTCTTCATGTCTCTTCTCATCAACATGTGTCCCCTCTTCTTCATGTCTCCTCTACATCAACATGTGTCCCCTCTTCTTCATGTCTCTTCCACATCAACATGTGTCCCCTCTTCTTCATGTCTCTCCTACATCAACATGTGTCCCCTCTTCTTCATGTCTCTTCTACATCAACATGTGTCCCCTCTTCTTCATGTCTCCTCTACATCAACATGTGTCCCCTCTTCTTCATGTCTCTTCCACATCAACATGTGTCCCCTCTTCTTCATGTCTCTCCTACATCAACATGTGTCCCCTCTTCTTCATGTCTCTTCTACATCAACATGTGTCCCCTCTTCTTCATGTCTCTTCTAAATGAGCTGATCAGATTTTGGCCACTTGATGATGTCATAGCGATGTGTTGTCTTGTGTAACCATTAGCCAATCAGCAACCAAGGTAACCCCCCCCCCCCCCCCCCCCTTATCACCTGAATCTCCTCTAGAGCTCCATTGAGTTCTTTGTAACCAAACCTCTCTCAGAGGGGCGTGGGGAGGGGCTCCTTATTTTCATCTGAAGTAGCAGACAGAGAATCAGCACTTTGGAAACAGGGCTGAAACAGAGGGGATTATGGGTAATGCTGCAATGATCTGTTTGGTGTTTCATCCAATCAGAGACAGGCTCTGGATATATCTGTGGTATATTGATGAAGAGGAGGATGATGATAAGGCACCTTTAAAACTTGTGACCCGCTCAGATGTCAGAGCTTCAGACCGTGAAGCCGCTCTCTCACCCCTCGTCCATTTTAAAGCTTCTTTCCTCCATGCGAGTCGAGGGTCTCAGTCTCCATGACAACCCTCCCTCCCCCCGTCCATCGTCTCGCATCAGCTGCTGATCTGAAGCTCTGCTGAAACCGCTCTATTCAGGCTTTATGTTCCCTGGAACGAGGAATTTGACTTGGTGTTGTGGTGCATGCATAAAAACAACACATTTAAAACACAGACATGGAACTATACGAATCTAAAATAGAGCAAGACGTAGACATGGAATACAAATTGGCAGTAATGAAAAAAGAAAACAGAAATTGTTGTACATTTTGTGCATACGACAATATATCATTACTGCCGATCATCCTCTTCATCTTCATCTTCATCATCATCCTCTTCATCTTCTTCTTCATCATCATCATCCTCTTCATCATCATCCTCTTCATCTTCATCACCATCATCTTCATCTTCATCATCATCCTCCTCTTCATCCTCCTCCTCCTCCTCCTCCTCCTCTTCATCCTCTTCATCCTCCTCCTCCTCCTCCTCCTCCTCTTCATCCTCTTCATCCTCCTCCTCCTCCTCCTCCTCCTCTTCCTCTTCATCATATTGATGTTTCTCAGGTGAGTGCTCCTGAGTTTCTGTGATGGTCAGAAAGTCTGCAGGAAATGAAATGATGTAACTTTGATGGAAATGTGAAAGCAAAGAGAAACGCTTGAAGGCAGCGTCAGCGTCAATGTAGTGCAGTCTGACCTTCAGAGTGAAGCGCAGACTGCACTACATTAACCTAGAGGTCGCAGTCTGACCTTCAGAGTGAAGCGCAGACTGCACTACATTAACCTAGAGGTCGCAGTCTGACCTTCAGAGTGAAGTGCAGACTGCACTACATTAACCTAGAGGTCGCAGTCTGACCTTCAGAGTGAAGCGCAGACTGCACTACATTAACCTAGAGGTCGCAGTCTGACCTTCAGAGTGAAGCGCAGACTGCACTACATTAACCTAGAGGTCGCAGTCTGACCTTCAGAGTGAAGCGCAGACTGCACTACATTAACCTAGAGGTCGCAGTCTGACCTTCAGAGTGAAGCGCAGACTGCACTACATTAACCTAGAGGTCGCAGTCTGACCTTCAGAGTGAAGCGCAGACTGCACTACATTAACCTAGAGGTCGCAGTCTGACCTTCAGAGTGAAGCGCAGACTGCACTACATTAACCTAGAGGTCGCAGTCTGACCTTCAGAGTGAAGCGCAGACTGCACTACATTAACCTAGAGGTCGCAGTCTGACCTTCAGAGTGAAGCGCAGACTGCACTACATTAACCTAGAGGTCGCAGTCTGACCTTCAGAGTGAAGCGCAGACTGCACCTACATTAACCTAGAGGTCGCAGTCTGACCTTCAGAGTGAAGCGCAGACTGCACTACATTAACCTAGAGGGTCGCAGTCTGACCTTCAGAGTGAAGCGCAGACTGCACTACATTAACCTAGAGGTCGCAGTCTGACCTTCAGAGTGAAGCGCAGACTGCACTACATTAACCTAGAGGTCGCAGTCTGACCTTCAGAGTGAAGCGCAGACTGCACTACATTAACCTAGAGGTCGCAGTCTGACCTTCAGAGTGAAGCGCAGACTGCACTACATTAACCTAGAGGTCGCAGTCTGACCTTCAGAGTGAAGCGCAGACTGCACTACATTAACCTAGAGGTCGCAGTCTGACCTTCAGAGTGAAGCCGCAGACTGCACTACATTAACCTAGAGGTCGCAGTCTGACCTTCAGAGTGAAGCGCAGACTGCACTACATTAACCTAGAGGTCGCAGTCTGACCTTCAGAGTGAAGCGCAGACTGCACTACATTAACCTAGAGGTTGCAGTCTGACCTTCAGAGTGAAGCGCAGACTGCACTACATTAACCTAGAGGTCGCAGTCTGACCTTCAGAGTGAAGCGCAGACTGCACTACATTAACCTAGAGGTCGCAGTCTGACCTTCAGAGTGAAGCGCAGACTGCACTACATTAACCTAGAGGTCGCAGTCTGACCTTCAGAGTGAAGCGCAGACTGCACTAACCGAGCACTTACTGTGCGCTGATGCTGCCTGTGAGTCCTGAGGTGCAGCTGCAGGGATGTAAGTACACACAGCAGCAGAGACACACGTCACATGACCTCTTATTGTATATATTATATTATATTATATTAAGTACTGCAATTCTGCTGGAGTCAATACTATGAGTATATACAGGGGTGCACATCACCGGTACGCATGTGCGGCAACAATCTGAAATGCGTACCGTCACTTGTGTCACAAAGCTCATTTGAGTACCGACGTACTTGTGAAGCTTTTCCAGAAGGCGGTTAGCTCACCGGACGATAGAGTCGGGCTCCGTGTGCACAGACAGGGCTGCTGTTAACGCTGCCTACAACAGCTGATCACAACGTCCACACGCTCTGTGGCCACGAAGCTCTGCCCTCCACTACCACCCCCCCCCCCCCCCCGTTGACATTTGCGACGATACAGAGGACTTCATGGGAACTTTGAGGGGAGCCAGAAGTTGGAGTACCAAACACTGACTCCAGTACCTCACTGAGTACCTCTCTGAGAGAGTTGTGTGCACCCCTGAGTATAGGGACCTTTAAGTAGCACGTTGCATTGTTAGAGGTAGACCTTAGACTCTAGAGGTCAAACTAAAGCAGATGTTTGTTAGACCTTAGACTCTAGAGGTCAAACTAAAGCAGATGTTTGTTAGAGGTAGACCTTAGACTCTAGAGGTCAAACTAAAGCAGATGTTTGTTAGACCTTAGACTCTAGAGGTCAAACTAAAGCAGATGTTTGTTAGAGGTAGACCTTAACCTTTAAAGGTCAAACTAAAGCAGATGTTTCTTAGACCTTAGACTCTAGAGGTCAAACTAAAGCAGATGTTTGTTAGAGGTAGACCTTAGACTCTAGAGGTCAAACTAAAGCAGATGTTTGTTAGAGGTAGACCTTAGACTCTAGAGGTCAAACTAAAGCAGATGTTTGTTAGACCTTAGACTCTAAAGGTCAAACTAAAGCAGATGTTTGTTAGAGGTAGACCTTAGACTCTAGAGGTCAAACTAAAGCAGATGTTTGTTAGAGGTAGACCTTAGACTCTAGAGATCAAACTAAAGCAGATGTTTGTTAGAGGTAGACCTTAGACTCTAAAGGTCAAACTAAAGCAGATGTTTGTTAGAGGTAGACCTTAGACTCTAAAGGTCAAACTAAAGCAGATGTTTGTTAGACGTAGACCTTAACCTCTAGAGGTCAAACTAAAGCAGATGTTTGTTAGAGGTAGACCTTAACCTCTAGAGGTCAAACTAAAGCAGATGTTTGTTAGAGGTAGACCTTAGACTCTAAAGGTCAAACTAAAGCAGATGTTTTGCGTAATGAGTCATTCAACAACTCACATTTAGCAAGCTCTATTTAAGTGAATATAAGATCAGGTCACGATTAAGAGACCGCATCACGTCCTTAGCATGGACTTCACTACATTAGAGCGGTGCCTTTCACCCTGAGGTCAGTGTGTCTCCTCTGCTGTGTGAGCCTCAGTCAGTGCTACACCGCTACATAAACGCCCTGTTTTCTCCTCCTCTTCCTCTTCTTCCTCCTCTTCCTCCTCCTCTTCCTCCTCCTCCTCCTCCTCCTCTTCCTCCTCCTTCACCCCAAAGTCGAGCAGATCACAGGCGTTTTCACCGCCGCCACGAGGCAAAAGGCATGGGACCATTTCTCAAAAGCTCAGCGCAAGAACATAGACATTTGGCACAAGCAGTGTGAGGTTGGTATCAAACTGTGGAGACGCTTTCATGTACAAAGTGATGACATTACAGACATCCTCTTCCTGGAACGCGTGAGGCGCTGCCATGGAAACAGCAGCCACGAGCGCGTGAGAGATTATTCAGGAGGAGTCAGATCTGGGTAACGAGGACCAACAGGAGGAGGGCCGCTGGTTAGGGTCTGATCTGAGAGGGGCTCCACATGATGTTAGATATCACTGGAGGTGTTACAGCGTCCTCTGTTAGAGGACACACAGGAGCTGCTCTGAGGTGGTGGGAGGTGTTACAGCGTCCTCTGTTAGAGGACATACAGTAGCTGCTCTGAGGTGATGGGAGGTGTTACAGCGTCCTCTGTTAGAGGACATACAGTAGCTGCTCTGAGGTGGTGGGAGGTGTTACAGCGTCCTCTGTTAGAGGACACACAGTAGCTGCTCTGAGGTGGTGGGAGGTGTTACAGCGTCCTCTGTTAGAGGACACACAGTAGCTGCTCTGAGGTGGTGGGAGGTGTTACAGCGTCCTCTGTTAGAGGACACACAGTAGCTGCTCTGAGGTGATGGGAGGTGTTACAGCTGCCTCTGTTAGAGGACATACAGTAGCTGCTCTGAGGTGGTGGGAGGTGTTACAGCTGCCTCTGTTAGAGGACATACAGTAGCTGCTCTGAGGTGGTGGGAGGTGTTACAGCTGCCTCTGTTAGAGGACATACAGTAGCTGCTCTGAGGTGGTGGGAGGTGTTACAGCTGCCCCTGTTATAGGACACACAGTAGCTGCTCTGAGGTGGTGGGAGGTGTTACAGCGTCCTCTGTTAGAGGACACACAGTAGCTGGTGGGAGGTGTTACAGCGTCCTCTGTTAGAGGACACACAGTAGCTGATGGGAGGTGTTACAGCGTCCTCTGTTAGAGGACACACAGTAGCTGCTCTGAGGTGGTGGGAGTTGTTACAGCTGCCTCTGTTAGAGGACATACAGCAGCTGCTCTGAGGTGATGGGAGGTGTTACAGCGTCCTCTGTTAGAGGACATACAGCAGCTGCTCTGAGGTGATGGGAGGTGTTACAGCGTCCTCTGTTAGAGGACACACAGGAGCTGCTCTGAGGTGATGGGAGGTGTTACAGGGTCCTCTGTTAGAGGACAAACAGTAGCTGCTCTGAGGTGGTGGGAGGTGTTACAGCATCCTCTGTTAGAGGACACACAGTAGCTGCTCTGAGGTGATGGGAGGTGTTACAGCTGCCTCTGTTAGAGGACACACAGTAGCTGCTCTGAGGTGGTGGGAGGTGTTACAGCTGCCTCTGTTAGAGGACATACAGTAGCTGCTCTGAGGTGATGGGAGGTGTTACAGCTGCCTCTGTTAGAGGACATACAGTAGCTGCTCTGAGGTGGTGGGAGGTGTTACAGCAGCCTCTGTTAGAGGACACATGACAGCATGCTCTGATGTGATGGGAGGTGTTACAGCTGCCTCTGTCAGAGTACATACAGTAGCTGCTCTGAGGTGGTGGGAGGTGTTACAGCGTCCTCTGTTAGAGGACACATTACAACATGCTCTGAGGTGATGGGAGGTGTTACAGCTGCCTCTGTTAGAGGACATACAGTAGCTGCTCTGATGTGGTGGGAGGTGTTACAGCGTCCTCTGTTAGAGGACACATTACAGCATGCTCTGAGGTGATGGGAGGTGTTACAGCTGCCTCTGTTAGAGGACATACAGTAGCTGCTCTGAGGTGATGGGAGGTGTTACAGCTGCCTCTGTTAGAGGACACACAGTAGCTGCTCTGAGGTGGTGGGAGGTGTTACAGCGTCCTCTGTTAGAGAACATACAGCAGCTGCTCTGAGGTGATGGGAGGTGTTACAGCTGCCTCTGTTAGAGGACACATGACAGCATGCTCTGAGGTGATGGGAGGTGTTACAGCTGCCTCTGTTAGAGGACACACAGTAGCTGCTCTGAGGTGGTGGGAGGTGTTACAGCGTCCTCTGTTAGAGGACACATTACAGCATGCTCTGAGGTGATGGGAGGTGTTACAGCTGCCTCTGTTAGAGGACACACAGTAGTTGCTCTGAGGTGATGGGAGGTGTTACAGCTGCCTCTGTCAGAGGACATACAGTAGCTGCTCTGAGGTGGTGGGAGATGTTACAGCGTCCTCTGTTAGAGGACACACAGTAGCTGCTCTGAGGTGGTGGGAGGTGTTACAGCGTCCTCTGTTAGAGGACACACAGTAGCTGCTCTGAGGTGATGGGAGGTGTTACAGCGTCCTCTGTTAGAGGAACTACAGGAGCTGCTCTGAGGTGATGGGAGGTGTTACAGCGTCCTCTGTTAGAGTAACTACAGGAGCTGCTCTGAGGTGGTGGGAGGTGTTACAGCTGCCTCTGTTAGAGGAACTACAGTAGCTGCTCTGAGGTGGTGGGAGGTGTTACAGCTGCCTCTGTCAGAGGACATACAGTAGCTGCTCTGAGGTGGTGGGAGGGGTTACAGCTTCCTCTCTTAGAGGACACACAGTAGCTGCTCTGAGGTGATGGGAGGGGTTACAGCTTCCTCTGTCAGAGGACATACAGTAGCTGCTCTGAGGTGATGGGAGGTGTTACAGCTGCCTCTGTCAGAGGACATACAGTAGCTGCTCTGAGGTGGTGGGAGGGGTTACAGCTTCCTCTGTTAGAGGACACACAGTAGCTGCTCTGAGGTGATGGGAGGGGTTACAGCTTCCTCTGTTAGAGGACACACAGTAGCTGCTCTGAGGTGGTGGGAGGTGTTACAGCGTCCTCTGTTAGAGGACACATTACAGCATGGTCTGAGGTGATGGGAGGTGTTACAGCTGCCTCTGTCAGAGGACATACAGTAGCTGCTCTGAGGTGATGGGAGGTGTTACAGCGTCCTCTGTTAGAGGACACACAGTAGCTGCTCTGATGTGGTGGGAGGTGTTACAGCGTCCTCTGTTAGAGGACACATGACAGCATGCTCTGAGGTGATGGGAGGTGTTACAGCTGCCTCTGTCAGAGGACATACAGTAGCTGCTCTGAGGTGATGGGAGGTTTTACAGCGTCCTCTGTTAGAGGACACACAGTAGCTGCTCTGATGTGGTGGGAGGTGTTACAGCGTCCTCTGTTAGAGGACACATGACAGCATGCTCTGAGGTGATGGGAGGTGTTACAGCTGCCTCTGTTAGAGGACATACAGTAGCTGCTCTGAGGTGATGGGAGGTGTTACAGCTGCCTCTGTTAGAGGACACACAGTAGCTGCTCTGAGGTGATGGGAGGTGTTACAGCTGCCTCTGTTAGAGGACATACAGTAGCTGCTCTGAGGTGATGGGAGGTGTTACAAGCTGCCTCTGTCAGAGGACATACAGTAGCTGCTCTGAGGTGATGGGAGGTGTTACAGCTGCCTCTGTCAGAGGACATACAGGAGCTCCTCTGATGTGGTGGGAGGTGTTACAGCGTCCTCTGTTAGAGGACACACAGTAGCTGCTCTGAGGTGATGGGAGGTGTTACAGCGTCCTCTGTTAGAGGACATACAGGAGCTCCTCTGAGGTGATGGGAGGTGTTACAGCGTCCTCTGTTAGAGGACATACAGTAGCTGCTCTGAGGTGGTGGGAGGTGTTACAGCGTCCTCTGTTAGAGGACATACAGTAGCTGCTCTGAGGTGATGGGAGGTGTTACAGCTTCCTCTGTTAGAGGACATACAGTAGCTGCTCTGAGGTGATGGGAGGGGTTACAGCGTCCTCTGTTAGAGGACATACAGTAGCTGCTCTGAGGTGGTGGGAGGTGTTACAGCGTCCTCTGTTAGAGGACACATGACAGCATGCTCTGAGGTGATGGGAGGTGTAACGGCCCGTCCACACAGCAGCGTGCGTTGAAGCTTCCAACGCTTCTGCCCATTCACTTTGAATGGGGTGACGTCAATTTTAGCCGAGATGCATTTTGGGAAGCGACGTGGAGCGTTGCCGGCGTAGCTGGCGTCAAAAGTTGAGCAATGTTCAACTTTTGACGCCTCGATGGAGGCGTCAGCCAATGAAATCCTGTTTATTCAAATCTGCCAGTACAATCGCATAGCCAATCAAACCGCGTGTATGCTGGGAGAGACTACGCAGGTCATTTCCTCATATTCAAACAAATTGAGGGGAAATTCATTGTAGCGGTAGTGAATCACCCGGTGCTGTATGATCAGTCTCTGTTCATCTACCGGGATACAAACTGGAGGAGCGAGGCATGGAGGGAGGAGGCAGAGACAGTGGGTGAAACTGGTAGGTTTTCGCCTGTTTGGGGATTTTATATCCAGTTTACTTTGTTTTAACATTGCTATTGCTTTGTATGTCGGGGGCGGGAGATTCATGTGATTGGTTGTTGGTCGTGTTGCTCGCAAAAAATCCCCAAGCTTCAGATACGCCCACCTCCAAGCGTCAACGCACGCTGCTGTGTGGACGCTCCGTTACAGCTGCGTCTGTTAGAGGACACATGACAGCATGCTCTGAGGTGGTGGGAGGTGTTACAGCGTCCTCTGTTAGAGGACATACAGCAGCTGCTCTGAGGTGGTGGGAGGTGTTACAGCTGCCTCTGTTAGAGGACATACAGAAGCTGCTCTGAGGTGGTGGGAGGTGTTACAGCTGCCTCTGTTATAGGACACACAGTAGCTGCTCTGAGGTGGTGGGAGGTGTTACAGCGTCCTCTGTTAGAGGACACACAGTAGCTGCTCTGAGGTGGTGGGAGGTGATACAGCGTCCTCTGTTAGAGGACATACAGTAGCTGCTCTGAGGTGGTGGGAGGTGTTACAGCTGCCCCTGTTATAGGACACACAGTAGCTGCTCTGAGGTGGTGGGAGGTGTTACAGCGTCCTCTGTTAGAGGACACACAGTAGCTGGTGGGAGGTGTTACAGCGTCCTCTGTTAGAGGACACACAGTAGCTGCTCTGAGGTGGTGGGAGTTGTTACAGCTGCCTCTGTTAGAGGACATACAGCAGCTGCTCTGAGGTGATGGGAGGTGTTACAGCGTCCTCTGTTAGAGGACATACAGCAGCTGCTCTGAGGTG